CATACCACTTAATAATAATAATAATTTTCTCAGTTTGACGAACATCTGCTTTAACAGAGCAAAGGTGACATAGGTATTTTCGTTCATAATGTGCTTTGTCTTCCTCGGAATCCATTAGATTGAGAGATAATTTGATTTCAGTTCATACCATCAATCTTTTTGAGATACGCTTGGATGAAATATGAATATCTACCCACAACACCCCCCACCCCATTTAAATAAGATAAAAGTGATATTAGAGGTTAATATGCACAGATGCTGAAATTGCTGCTTAATGTCAAAAGACGTAACATCTCCCCTACTGTGAAATAGATAGTGCACACTAGAAAGCATTCATTATATAAACATAAAGCCATAAGATTAATGGCATAATTTGATGGATGAAGTTTAAATATAATTCTTACTTTCGAACATGCGGAATATGTGTCCATCGAGGCATGTAGGCCTTCTGATGTTTTGCAAAGGATCTTGGGATACGAGAAGTGAAACATTCAAAAGATTAAAAAATGTTTTTTTCCAACTCCATAAACACTGCAGAAATTCATAAATGCTTCAACAAAATGAGTCATAAGCGATGGGCTTGGGATTAGCGACAGGGAAGGGCTTCATAAGCGGCATTCACCCTACGTATTATTTATTCACATTGAACTTCACCAGAAAACATGAATCTCATTATTCAAGTAAGAAATAGTCACTACAAATTGATCCCTTGTTTCATCCATAATGCAAAAGATCTCATATTGTTTTTTGTTGTAGTTGACGGTCAGAGAGAAGACCGATATGACCGCAGGCAGAACAACTTCTGCTGTGTTTGCATATACTCTATTGATATCCACAGTTAATCTACTATATAAAATTAATGTAAAATACATAATGTACTTGCTGTCTTTTATACATGGAAAAACAATGAATAGTAATCAGTAGATTTTTTTGTTTTTTTTCTATCTTCTAGCTGTAATTATATATATATATTTTTTTTTTCTTGTGAGAAATTAAAGGCTGAAACATCTGGAGTATGCATCAATTTAACTAAAAATATTATCATCAAAGTGAGGTTTCTCATAAATGTTAGTGCTAATGTTATAAAGCCTCTATTTAACTTCCTTTGCTTTTAGGTTTGTCACAGTAGTCCATCTCTCTTTAATTAATTAAACAACATTAGTCTTTTCTTTGCATTGGTCTTCTCTGAAACCCATTAGACTACAATTTTCAAGAAAATGAATGTGTTACTTGGAGCTCCTTTAATGTGCAGGTCAATGTTTATTCTAATAGAATGCATTGTAATTCAATGTTCAGTGATGAAGAGGTGATCCTAAAAAAAAGTGTTTTTCAATATAGAATTAAAAATAAAATTGTGTAACCAGGGTTTAAATAGCAGGTGAAAATAAATTAGTAAATTAAATTTATGATGCAATTTCTTTTAAGTTTTAGTGTATTTAGTTTTAGTTATTTTAGTACATTAAAACTAAACAATAAGAATTAAGAAAGAAAAAAAATGAAATAGAGTATTTTTTTACATTTCATTTCAGTTTATGTTTATTTTATTTCAAGGTTTTTTTGTCATGTGAAAATTAATTGTTTGTGCTGACTGTATAGTTTATAACAGGGAAAAATACATGAAGTTTGAAAAATGTACAATATTTACATTGGCTTATCACTAATCAGTATCATATTCACTCAGTTTGTTGAAGTGATCTCTCAGGTTTGTATCAGGGTAAGTAGAAATCATTTTAACCAAATTCCAAACTCACATGCTACAGACAAACACAGACCCCTTGCAGTCCCCCGTCTCTCTGTCCGTACCTCCGACCGCCTGTTTCCTGTTTGTTTCTGTCCCTCACTTCTATGTCCTTCTTTTTCCTGTCCTTCCTCCGCTTCTGTACTGTCTTATTCTGTTCTCACCTCCGCTTCTCTCTCTCTGCATCTTCCTGTGGTTGTGTTTGCAGTGGAGGGGCAGTGGTTGGACTGGGCCGCCTGGTCTCAGTGCTCTGTTTCCTGCGGCTCCGGCACTCAGCAGAGGCAGCGGCGTTGCAGTGTGTCAGTTCATGGCTGGGCAGAGTGTAAGGGGCCACATGCGGAAAATCGTGAGTGCACCAACCCATCTTGTGGGGGTAAGTTTCTCTCTGGTGGGCTTACAGTCTTAAATTGACAGGTAGATTATGTGCACAGCTGCAGATTGTTTTGCTGTCATTGTCTATTTAATTGTAGCGGATGCTCTGAATTGTCTATGGTACCAAACTGCAGAGACTAACCGGTCTGCACCTCTCATTTTGTTCCACAGATATGCTGCTGTGTCAGCATATGCCAGTTAGCACCCCTGATAATAATTAATAAGTGCAAATTATCTTCATGCAGGTGCTTTATGACCACATTCACACTACAGCTAAATATGGTTGCCACTTCACTTTTAAGTGCTTTTTCATGCTTTACACAACAGTTAGTGCTGGTCCTCAAATTTGATTGGCTGAACAGTGAACAGAATCGTTGATATTCTATTGTAGTTTTTTTTTATTTTTTTGTTTTTGTTTAGTGTTTTCACTAAATCAGATTTTATATTTTCAGCTTTCAATTTAGTTTAGTTAAACTTTTAGTAATTTTGTTGTGTTATTCATTTATTTTTTTATAAATATTTCTATGTAGTTTTTATTTTATTAGGTAAGTTTTTAGTTTTCATTTCAAGCATTTAAAGTAATATTTTAGATTTGTAGTTTTAGTTATCTATAATAACCCTGGTTCCAAGAGCACTGATAAACAGTTCAACAACACTGGGATGTTTAACTGGGACATTGTGTAGATGGTCAACAATAATTCCCTGTAATTCATCTCTTGTTCCTCGTTTTCTTCCTTATGTGTAGGTGGAGGAAACTGGGGTGCTTGGAATCACTGGAGCTTGTGCTCCAAGACCTGTGACTCTGGTTGGCAGCGGCGGTTCCGTATGTGTGAAGGCACGGGAATCCAGGGTTACCCTTGTGAAGGCTCTGGAGAGGAAGTACACTCCTGCAATGACAAGAAGTGCCCAGGTGTGTGTTTATTATGATCAAAGCATCTCTCTTTTTCTTCTCTTCTGATTAGTTTTTTCTGATTTCCTATACAAATTTGGTCTGTTCTACCTTGACAGTCTTGATTGTCTAATAGCCTATCTAGTTATTATCCATTATTATTTTTGACTTAATCTGTTGAGTTGATATTCAATTAAAACTATTTTTTGATTAAGTGTAACTGACATACAGTAATTGGGACACTTGTTGACTATTACATACACGTATTTTTTATTTTGTTTTGTGTTTACAGTTGTCATTTTAATTTCTGTGTTTATTTTTTATTGATATAAAATATCAAAGTCCCTCAAATCAGGGTTTTAAACTTTTTGTTGTTTGGTAACAGGGTTAAATAAATTGCACACCTTAAAATAAAATTAATAGAAACTAAAATAGTTCATTGAACATTAAGTTTGGTCTTCTGAAGTTGATAAATAACATATTGTGAAGCGTTCACTGAATGCTTAAAAAAACAAGACTTTCAGACCCTAATTTGTACCCTATTTGTAAAAAGTGCCCTTTCCTTTTCAGACCTCTCTCACTCATTTTCTCTTTCTTCTGTATTTAACATTCTCTCTTCTCCTTTGTTTCCATTTCTTCTCTCTTTAAATTGAGACGGGTCATTCTTGACAGAAGAGAATTGTTCAAAGTGCTGCTATGTGTGATTTGTCAGCATGTCAAGCAGCACAGCAAACAGCAGATTTTAATAAGCATGCCATTGACTGCAGCTTTGGGAGGCTATAGATTAAATAAATGTAAGACATTGCCACAGAGCTTATATCGGGCACAGGGCTTTGATGGCACCAAACACTTGAAGACAAAAATCTGTCCGATAGCTTTGTCGGGGTGTATTATGTTTAGATGAAAAAGGTAGGATTCTCTTCTCCATCTCTCTCAGCTTTCAACCCAGTCCCCTTCTGTATCTCACCCCTGGGTTGTTCTCTGTTCAGAAGAAACTTTTGAATGAAAATTGGAGAGAGATGTGTGTTGTTCTAGTCACTGATCTTTACAGAGTTTGCTTTGTGCGCTGCAACAACAAATTTTCTTAATCAGTACTTTTTGTCCTTGTTTCAGTGAAAAATCTAGAGATATAAACCTAATTAAATATATAAATAAAACAAGACAAATCTGTTTGCCAATGGGTAAGAAAAATAAACTTAATTCAAGATAAGTAAACAAGACTTAAAATTGTATACATTTTTGCTTTTGAGGTCAAATTGATCCTTTTTAAATGATTTTTTTGATATTTGTACTGACAAAAAGACATAAAAACTGAAAATGCATGTTTAAATGAAGTTAATTAAGTAATTAAATTTTTTACTGGCATGCAGAACGTTATAGATTTTACATATTTTTATTGGAAAACAGGCACAACTCATGATTAAGAAATTATTTTATTGATGGAAATTCAAAACAATATAAAATGTATTCTAGAAAACAAGAGAAATACTATTTATTTATTTATGTACAGTATGTATGTGAGAGCAATCAATCAATCCTAAATAGGCTTTATAGTTAATGCCAGTTTGTACATGTTTCCTAGTCTTTTTTTTTCTGGCTAATCTATATGTTTGATTCATACTGTGTGCAGCACCTCGTGAAATATGTAAGGATGAGTACCAAGTAGCCATGACATGGAAGAGAGCCTCAGCTGGAGAGACGGTATACAACAAGTGTCCATCAAATGCCACTGGTACGTCATTGCACACATTCTCTCCACTCACTAATTAAGGTCTGTTGGAGTCATTTTAGAAATATGAAATATTAAAATGAAAGTTCACCCGAAGATGACTTACCCTCGTGTTATTCCAACCCATGACTTTTCCTTCCGTGGAACAAAATGTTTAATATTTTGAGGAAGATCTAAATGACAGTTCATAGTTTCTTTGGCTGTTATGGTCCAAAACAACTAAATAAAACCCACAGATAATGACAACTTATTGTCAATTTATTTGAGTCATTTAAGTCATCGTTCACTGATAATGTCAGTTTAATGCCAATTTATTTGATTAATCTTCTTCTTGATCTAGAAATTGCTGGTTTAGTCTCTATCTAGGCCAGTAATCGAAAGTTTGCAGGTTCTGTGTAAAGACCAGTCCATGACCATTGTGCCCTTTAGCCAAAACCCAGCTTGCTCAAGGACGACCGTTCTTCTAAAAAGTATATTGTACATTACTCTGGATAAAAATGTCAGCTATGTGACAAATTAGTAGTAAATTAAAACCACACAAGAAAAGATAATGATCCGAGCATGATTAGCTTCAGAGTTTATGCCTACATCACATAAAACTGCAATCTAATGTTGTTTTGGCCATAGCCAAAGACGCCATATCTCATGCAGCCTCTGATACATTTGTTTCTTCTCTCACCGTGACATGCAGCTTTATTAAAATATTGTATGATTGGTTAAACTACATTATAAAACTCCATCAACGGTGCAATCGGTGCAGCTTCCAAAATCTACATCGCACAACAGGCTCAAAATAAGTTGGTTTCCACGCAGTTAATCAGCATTCAGTTCTTAAACCCATTGAGATGAATTAGTGGTGTATGAGAGGGAACTTAATGAGGATGTTTACAGCCCAATATATGCTGCCACAGAAAGTTAATATACTGTAACAATGATATCAAGTCAGATTTTGGTGGACTGAAATGTCAGACGTTGCCACAGAGCTTACATTGGACCTAACAAAAATCACATTTCTTTATTTGAGGGACTGTAGATTCAATGTCACAGACTGACATGTTGTCGTTTTGTACAACATGACATTCATGTTTTCTGAATGTTATATATTGAGTGTTCTGCACTCTTCAGATTGGCTCAAGAGGTTCTAACCCTTCCCATCGCAGTGGGAGAGTTTCTTGGGGTTATTTATGCCCTCTTGAGTACAGCGTGCAATAATTCTCAGATACTAGTGGAGAAAGACACCCAAGGCACTCAGTGATTTTTACCTAATAAGAACAGAAAGACCTAATAAATGATGTCTTTGAAGTGGGAGCACAGAGCAGAGTGTTGAATGAGGTCAACAGCGAGCTGTAATCTATATCAACTCCACATCCCGAGCAGCACGGACTGTCATGCTCGCTAACCCCCAAAAGAAAAACCAATTCCTGCAGAGAACATTTCGCTTGACTTTTCCGGGCTACATTTCCACGTCTGCCTGCGTTCCCTGTGTGATTTTCAGGCCCATTTTTTATCCTAGCGAGGATACTAGGGGTGAGGCCTCATTCGAGTCTTGTTGGCCGTGATCTGAATGATGCAAGTAGCAGAAATTTTAAGCAACACTGAGTTTACAACAGTGTAAAATGACATACTCAAAACAGACATTATCCCAGACATTATCATACGCCGCATCCCAGTGAAGTCTTTTATATGAAGCGTGTGATGTCAAACAGACCTTCGCATGTTGTTATTAACGGTGATAATGATCTGTTTTTATTTTTCCTCTCCCTGTAGGATCTGCTAGTCGTCGTTGTTTGCTGGACGCAAATGGAGTTGCTTACTGGGGTCCTCCGAGCTTCGCCCGATGTGTCTCACTCGAATATAGATATTTACATTTATCTGTGAGTACATGGATGAGGATGACGTGCTGTGATATCACAAGATGGGGAAAACTTAGATTATGAATATTAATTTATGCACATTATTTAACAATCTTTTACTGTTTTGATAAATAGTTTGTGTGATTTTTCTTGAAGTCAGGTCTGTATTAGAGTATTGCCATCTTCTCATACATATTATGAGAAAATAAGACTTGTTTTCAGAGATTATTTTGGAGATATTATTATTATTATTATTATTATTATTATTATTATTATTACTATTATTATTATATTGCTAAATAAATTTAACTAATGTCTGGTATTAAAATATCCTATTGAAAACAAGTCTTAGAAGCGATTTTGCTTCTAAGTACATTTATTTATTATTATTTTTATTTGTATGCTATAATTGTATAATTTATTTTTAATTAATTTATTTATTAATTTATTTATTATTTGAGGATACATGGATATTTTTTACTGGAAAACAGGGCAAAAAGATTTGTGAATGCAGTTTACACAGTGATTTAAGGCAGTAATCATACTTGCTGACTAATTCAGTTGCTCAACTGAACTCAACTGACATTTTATTTGATAACTTCCATCTGCTCCTGTAAGACCCTGAGTTTTGTAGCTCAGTAGATAGCATGGATGAGCAGCTGAATATTAAGTAATAAAAGTTTAATACACCAGATTTGTAGCTGTACATAAGTGAATGCATATCAGAAGAAGGGACACATTTGTTTGCATTTTGTTTGGTGGTTTCACTAGAGCGGATAACAAGCCACAGAAAAGCGATAGATTGGAGTTTATTTAAAGGGCCATATGTGCTGGAGAAAATATTGCTGCTGTCACCAGTGTTGGGCAAGTTACTCTGAAAATGTTATTAAATGTCTGATTACTGAGTACTCCTTTTTAAAGTAATCACGTTACTGTTCTGATTACTTCATTTCAAAAGTAATTAGTTACATAGTTACGTTACTTTTTTTCTGTGGCTACATCCATGAAATTTACATGAAATCCCAGCCTAAACGCTCCCGATAAATATTTCTACATTCACAAAACTGTTATTTTTAACTATAGCAAGCATAGGTTGCTGCGTACATGATTTGGCATGGTAGAATACCTGCAAATAGCTCTACTTTTATAATCTCAGTTCATCGCAATCTCACAAAGCTCTGTTATAACACAATGAATATATGCATGATGAATCTTTCATAATGTCTACAATTAGTGTGTTATAATGAGAGGATTCATGAGCATGCACATTTCAGCACTGCACTCCTGACTGGCCATTGCGTTCCAGAAATCAACATTGCTCAACGCAGCAAACGCCTGTTATAGCCTTAGAAACTCTGCCGAAGCTTGCGCCTTTTAATCGTTTTTATTTTATATTAGTTCTTGCTGCTTTTGTGCAATAGATGTATAACAATTTATTGTTTCAGATATTTTATGATTAGATATTTCTATTTTGCGGGAGTCCTGTGAATCATTTCATTCTCCCGCATCCCGCACACACACGAGTCTCTGCACTCGCCTATCAAGTCTTGTCCCGCGCCGCACTCTGTCGCGTCGGGTCTCGCGGGAGAGCAGGTCTCTAATCCACTAGCACTTGACTCGACAGTGCGTGAGCTACATCCTTTTTACAATCTAGATTATAAATCACTGCATTCTGTCAGCGATGTAACGCGGCAGTAACGTATAGAGTCCTAGGCTTCTAACTATACTCTAATTACTATTTTGAAAATGATAACTCGTTAAATGACTCCGTTACTAAAAAAGTAATCAAATTACAGTAACGTGTTACTAAGTATTGCTTTACTGCCCAACACTGCCTGTCACTTACTGCAAATGATAATAGCTGCAATGACCACTCAGCAAAACATTAAAACGAGTCAATTCCATTGTCGGATCCCTACTCATTATAACACACACAAAGAAAATAAAAACCACTACTTGGAGAAGCTTCCATTGAACTAGTCCCTAAAATAAATGCTTAAAAGAATTTATCACTTATCACCAGTCTCACAGCTTTCATATTGATATGTACTTTCTGTCACTTGTTGTGAGACCTCTGTGTTTTGATAATGATTGATTACTTCCTAACAGATTCAACAGCCTGCCTTCACATGCTCTTTCTAATTCCTCAGCCACGACCTTTGACTTTGAGTTCATAATGCCGAGTGGGTTTTAATTCTGTCTCGACCGAGGCATGATGTGACGGGGTTGATTGCGCTGTTAACCTGTCCACAAACCCCTCATTATAATCAAGACAGTGCTTAATTAGCTTTGATTGCCATTGTCTGCCACCTCCTGCACTCATAGTACTGTCATTAGACAGTCGTTCGGCCGCAAACAAGAACTCTGCTAGTTGATTCACTAAGGGAGAAGTTGTTTTCACTTTATGCTCACACCTTGGTTAACTGTAGATGGGAAGTAGATTAAGGCGGCTGTCAATACCTTCAGACTGCTTTCGCTTTGCTCCAGAACTGGATCAATATTGTTTCAGCTTCAAAGCCAGCGTGTTGTTCTGCCCTTCTTTTTCTGGCTTACCTTTAAATCTGTCTCCAAATTTCAGTGTGCTTATTTATTCTCTTTTTAAGTTATTTTATTTATTAAGCTTGTTTTAAGTGAATGAAATGAAAGTATATTAGTGTGTTTTAAGCCTATACGGGTACACAAAGCTACACTTTTCTTCACATCCTTCTCCATGCTTGTTCGTATATTTTAGCTTATTAATTATTCTTTCAGCTACAAATAGTTTAGCATATATTACCATATTTAAATTAGCATAATTCCACAGATTTTTAAATCGGTAGAGAAATGCATTAAAATAATTCCAGAACTGGTCTGCTGATGTAATTTAGTAGCTGGAGTTTGTTTTATTTATAAACCCAGGGTGCAACTTCGTGCTTATGTGGTTATTATTAAGGTTTATTTATCAGTGTCTGTGCATAAAAGCGTGTTTTTTTTTCTTCCCCTGTAGTTGCGAGAACATCTTGCGAAGGGTCAGAGGACCCTGGCAGGGGAGGGCATGTCTCAGATCGTGAGGAGTCTCCTGGAGTTAATGTCCCGTAAGAATTATTATAGCGGCGACCTCTTATTCTCTGTGGAGATTCTCCGAAATGTGACGGACACCTTCAAGCGAGCAACCTACATCCCAGCTCCTGACGACGTGCAGGTATGTATTTGCCTGTGGGTGTGTGTAAAGATACAAGTAATAAATGTGTAGATGACAAAAACTGTGACCAGGCAATCTTTCTTTTGATGTTTTCCACTGTTTGCACAGATTTTAAGATCCTTTTAAGCTCTTTTGTAGTTGACTTAAATAGAAAAGGTACTCTAAGCAGACTTAATATGAGTCTATACAATGGCATGTATATTTTACAAGTTTAGATCAATGCTTGACATGTCAACTTCAAAATTACATATATTGTTCCACATGTCAACTTCATTATTACATATATCACTCAATTTTTGTTTAAAACAAGAAAAAAAAATGCAATTGGGGTATGGAAATTAAATGTGTATTTAAAAATTAATAAAATTAAATAAAATTTCTATGAAAACATATTACACTTTTTATTAAAGGTATGTTGTTTTAAATTTGTGTTAGACAGTTTATATCTTTGTATGTCTATCTATTAAGACAAATACTAAATAAATAAATAATTTTTGCAGTGCAGAGTAACACAGATTCACAACATTAAAGTCCAAAAAAAAAAAACGTCTACTCCATCCAGTGGCATGTACATTATATAAGGTTTAGATCAATGTTTGACATGTCAACTATATATATTTTATCGCACGTTAACGCAGTTTTTTATTATTATGAAAGTCCGTTGCTCACTGGCTCTGAATACACACACAGACAAACATTTGGTCACAGGAGGGGTGGGATGTTGATCAGTAGGTTACTGGCTTGGGATGAGCGTCATCATGCGTCTGAGAGCATTTGAGGTGGGCCTAAGACTGCAGCAGTGCTCATAACTTCATAAGTGGGAAATAGTACGTTTCCGATAGCACATGAAGACAGCAGAGAAGCGCTCATGCTCAGCACAGTGGAGTGCATCGTTTTGTTAACTTTGTGGTTTATTATGTTGAGTCGTTTGGGACGCGGTAACACACGGCCCTCTCACAATATATTGCTTTACAGATCTATCGCTTTTGCCGCTCAGAAATGTTCACGCAATCATGCTGCACGTATCAGAAGTTCAGCGCTCCGACACTTACATGCACACCGCGCCCGAGCCCAACTGAACCGCGCTCTGGCCCACCTCTTCCAACCGAGCCAGGGATGGCTAAACAAACCACTAGAGCAATCACACTAGTCAAACGAACCGGGCTTTGGGGGTCAAACGCGCTCGGGCACGATTAAGATTGCCTAGTGTGAGTACATTCTTATTCTCCCGCATCCCGCACACACGAGTTTCTACCCGCCCGCACCCGCACTCGCCCATCAAGTGTTGTCCTGCGCCGCACTCTGCTGTGTTTGGTCCCACG